GAGCATTTTAGCCTCCTTCGAAAATGCAGGCGCCGCCACCGGGATTCGATCCTGCGGCCTGCGGGTCAGTAGCCGAGTGCCTTCACCACTAGACCACCGTGGTGGGTCGAGCATTATGTATAAACGACTGCGGAAGTGTTACATTTTGCTACATGCTTCGTGTGTGAGCTGTCAAAGCTCAGGTCACATAGAAATCATCATGTAGCGCTTTGCCTTCGGCAGTACAGATGCCTACTAACCGACCAGGTGCAGAAGTTCTGAGCAACACCACATATATAGGGCGACTAGCTGAGTCTCGTGGTGCAGGATTCAACGCCAAAGTACTGAGAAAATTAAGAAGTAGTGACAGAAATCAAGCACAAAGGCTCAAAGCCGCGCGAAAAGATAACTATAGGACGCTAGACGCTAGTGAAAGTACGGTGCGGGCTACTAAGGAGCTTCTACAAAAACTTATAGACGTACACAACTTGTCAAATCTCAAGGGACTTCTTTCAAAAAGTGCAGGCATACGTCACGTTGTGACAGCAGTTTTCTGCAACAGCAAAGCTGTTAATACTGGCAGTAAAATGTTCGCTAACTAAAAGCTCTGCTGAACTGTTGCCATAGCAACCGTCACAGCTGCGCGCCACCTGTGTTAAAAACAGCGAAGCGTCCACCACGCCGAGGAGCAACCGATGGCGAGCCGTCTCATAGCAACGGTAATATTTTTTGACAGTACGGCTCAGGCGCAGCCTTTTCGACACCTTTGGTGCGGCTAGCTTTTCTCGTATTCTGATCCCGGCCAAGCACGCTGGATTCAATCTCCGCCTATGCTGTGATTACCTTGCCGGTGCACAATGAACTGAAGACCAAACCACTTCGCTGTGCCGACCTTTGCACAACTAAGTGCGAACTTCTCGCATTTTTTCCTCCTGTTGCTCGAAGTTGGAGGATTTTCCATTAGCTCCCATCGAAACGTGCCTGGGTCTTGGAGCTTAGCGGTAGAACGACATCGTAGCGGATGGTGGTCATCAACCATGTCTCAAAACCACACAGGGAACTGTTAAAGAAACCTGGTTTGAGAAAAGGCAGGAAACTTCATATAACAAAATAAAAGTTTGATGTACCGTATTTTCTCGAATGTATCTAACGCGAGTTACTTCCCCCCAATTTTCGCTATATAGAATTTTTTCTGGAGGTAAATAAAAGTACCCCTCACGTTACAATCAGGGTTGAATAAAAATTAAGTAAATGCGGTATTTTACATTAGCTTGCGGTACCACCATATTGGGCTGTTTAACCTTGCGATTCTTTTATACCTAAAACTAAGCTAACATGGTGCGGCGCATGGTGAAAACGGTTGTGTTGGTGCAATAAACGTCTCGCGGCCCCAAAATTCACGTCGCAATGTACAAAATTAAAAAAAAGAACTCGTTTACCAGCCAAGGTATCTGTGTCTCCATGTCTCACGTAAAATCTTTCCTAGAAGAAAGAATGAGGCGGCCTTTTGAAAACGTTTTACGTATTTCTACCAGAAGTGACGCAAGAGAGAGCCATAGTCCAAACTGTAGCCACCAAATGAGATACGATGAACAACGATTGTTTTCTCAGTCAGTTTCCTCAAACCACGATTGTTTCTTCAAGTCAGTTTCTTTAGGTGTCGTCTACTCGTTTCGCAAAGGCTAATAACCTCTTTAACCCAAGTCTAGGGATAATTATGGCAAGTTTACGGGAAAACTTTCATATGTACCCTTGTGGAATTCTTAATTTTTAATATAAAAATAAATCCGTCGATGTTTATGAAAAAGCTTGAGTTCGCAATTCTTAAATTTATACTGATTAATAATATACAGAATATGTTACTGCATTTTTGCGTTTTTTGCTTATCTGCATATTTTGCATAACTTATACTCCCTATCTGGTGTTTATCTATATTTTTTATATTTAAATTTTTCTCTCCTTACCGTCACAATGATTGATATTATACTGAGTGACTGTTACTGCATATTTGTGTTAGTTTTTACGAGCTTATCTACACATGTTGTAAAACTTACATTCGCTACTTTGTACTTATCTGTACATTTTAAATATCTTCATATTTCCATTCTTTCCACAGTTTACTATAGTGTTGTATCTCTAATGAATTATTTTGAGAAGGTCTCCCTCACAGTCTTGCGACTATGAGACCTACTTCTGTATTTGTATACAGCACATGCAATGTATCACATCTATTTAAAATAAAATTTAATTCAATTTAATTCCAGTCATGGTTCTCTGTTCTTGTGGGCGTCTTACAGCAGTCTTCAAAGGCAAGTGGGAACCTCTTTTGGCGGCCCAAGTTTCTTAAACACGGGACTAGACGCACTTGCCGTTAACGATACCATAAGGAAAATAGCAGCCACCGCACCTTTAGGCTCCGGGGCTTTTGGGCAGGAAGAGCTCGGCCCGACGCGCCATCGATTATCAACGTACCATAGAGGTAAAAACAAGAATAGGGGGCTCAGGCAGGCTGGCCGATGTTTTGATAAATCGAGCTACACTTTTGCCGAAAACCCGCCTTGGTAGTCTAGGGGGTGTGGTGCCCGAATGATGACCCACAGAAGTTGCGGATTGAATTCTGGCCGAGGCAGCCGCATTTTAGATGTAGGCAAAAATGCTTTAAGAGGTCCGCTTGATTCAATTTAGGTGTCCCGTTAAGGCATCCAAGGAGGCCGAAATTTCCGGAGCACTTCACTGCAGCGTCCCTTACAATCATATCGTGGTTTTGAGACGTCAAAGTGCAACAACTGTTCTTAACTTTGTCCAAGGTGCTCTGCCATCCTTGGCGTGTCGGGGTGTTACGGCACCTTTAACAATGAAAAAAATTAGAAAAAAGAACGCCAGACATGAGCAGAACATGCATTACTGTCACAGTGAAAGCTTAAGCCGCGGCCTTTAAGCCAGTTGTAAAACCCTTTGGAGCAACTACTGCTAGTAGCGCTACAAGCTACCAGCTACACCATCAATGGTCCTAATTTTTCAAACTATGGATGCGACGTTAAGCCAATATTTACGATTCAGTGGAGTAGCGACGTACGTGCACACAACGCGTATGCAAAAAAACGTTGTGCACGTTGTTCATATAGAGTGTTTTTGATGACGATTGTGAGTTATGGTTGAGCCATAGTAATGATTTGGAAGAGTTAAACCGCCCACTTGTTGCGCGTTGTGTGATGAACGCATGTTATTGTACTTTTCTACACCGCTGTATAACATCTTTAACGTGATTCCTTTCCCGACATGACACCTGTGTAAGGTCTTTAAGGGCAGCGATTTCAAGCACCAGAGTGGTGGCTCTGTGGTAGAACACTCGAATGCCAGGTAAGGTGCCTGGACTCAAATCTGGTTAAAAGCCTGGCTTTTCCCCCTAATTATGCATGACAGCGAATACTCGCGGAGGTGGCGGATAACTACGCCACCAAAATCAACTGTTGCGATTGCATAAAAGCTTTCGTGGTGAATTTAACCCCTCTATTGAAAACATGACTAAGGCTCTCATTTCTGTTTATCGAACTCCTCCGGGATGCGGTTCACCCCATCAGCTCCCACCTAAGCTTCAGATTTCAATGATTTTTCGTGAAATTCTTGCACGAGTGATGTTTAAGTGTACTGAGGCAGCGACATCTAACAAAACAAAAGCGTGGATAGCTGGGCTTGTTGTTGTACATGCTTAGAAAACAGCGCGAAAAAGGCACAGCACTCCCAGAAAGGAGACGCACTCAGTGCTATGCGCGTCCCCTTGCCGTGTGCGCAGTGCTTTTTTTCACGCTGTTTTTCAAGACATCTATAAGTTGCACGAGGCTTTCACCTCATTGCCGAAAACAAACAGCAACTGAACTCGAATTTCCTATTGCGCAGAAGGAGACCGCGGAAAAACAAGGGCTTTGCGGGTTGTCCAGGAGCTAGGTCATCGTAAAGAAATATGGTGACACAGGATGGTAAAGTCATTTCCCTGGTTAATTAAGAAAAATCGGGTGGAGTTTTGACGAATTGGGTGTGTAAAACGCGTCGTGGAAGCACTGGCACCTAGACACCCACGCAAGGAACATAGCGCACGAGTGCATCGTAGGAGCACTTGGCTGCAAAAGACAGCATCATATTTTGCTCCGTGTCCGGAACCACATTTGCTTAAAAAATCATACATCTGTCAAATGTCGCGATGTCTTAAAAAATTGCGCTTGTATGATAGAACGTTGCGTTAGTGCCTGGTTTTTAAGCATATGCAGCGTACTTCAATGTTTTAAGTTTTGCTTCACATTCCATACGTCTGTGTTGTCGACCGAACTCCCGCGAATTCCCTAGAGGATACCGATATTTGAGTTGCGTAGTGCTCGCTATCAAGTGTCCTTTTTTTTGTCTAGGGGAACTAGGACAATGTTCTAACGAATACACAATAAGGATGTACAGGGAATCAATGTAAATATTTCAGCATTCAACGACCCACTGCTTCATCTAGCAACATCAACTCTTGAAATAACAGTGCGTGAGTACCCCGAATGCTTCAGGAATTACTTGGCGTCCCCGACGAAGCTACGGACTCCAGCAGTAGTAAAACAATGAATATGTCATCGCACTAACAAGATACGGGGGTTGTGTCGGCAAGAAAGTTGTACACAAACGCGCAGGTCTTCCATCGCTGTGTACTTAAGAATTTCCTAAAGAAATAATTTTAAAAAATACGTAAAACTGAAAGCGAGAAGTGATGATGCGTAATATCCGGTGAAACCGTAGAATTCTTTACACGAAGAAAACGTTGCCCACACAAGCACAGGCACAAAAATGTAAGCGGGCCAGGGATTCTACACAGCTTAATGACCGGCTTCTACCAATGATGACTTGTAGTTGCTGCATTTTGGCACGTACTGCACCAGCAAGGACGCAAAAAAAGGAAAAAAAATAATCCTGCTGCGAACGTTATCCTAAAGCTTCATTAGGATTGTGTCGAAACAGAAGGTGCGAAAAACAAGCACGTCTCAACTGACCATGTGGCACGTGTTTCTTTGTCCCTCTTCCGGCAGGTAAGTCGATAAGAGAAGCGAAACACACTCCGCGAAGGAAGGCGTCGCTAAGCTGGTGGGCGATATACTTTGGTACATACGACTTGCACAGATACTGTTCGAATAATTGCGAAAGGTGGCAGGCAGGGCGACGGCAAGCGCTCGGCGACGGCCGTTTCGTGGCTCGCGTTGGACGCTGTGCGCGCGTCGCGTACGGCAGAAACTGTTCGGGTCACGCGTTTAGCGGTCGCCGAGAGTGGGACGCAGAGAGTGGGAGAGAGAGATTGTGAGAGAGGACGCGTACAGACAGTTATCCTGAGTGTGGGTGAAGGACAGGCAGCGAGAGTAACGCGACGGCAACAAACACGGTTCGGAGAGGCACAGGGGAGAGGAGTGCGGAGTGATCAGTGGATGAAGAGAGAGCGAGATGAAAAGAAAGAATAGATAACAAAGATACGCAGAAATGCGGCCGACTGCCGGTCGACATCTTGCGGGCGCTGTAAGCATACGTGCTTACTGTACCAGGAAACGGAGTGGCAGTGACTATGTTTCAACGGGGGAGCTGTTTGAGGTCGAGGGTAATCTCCAGGCAGGGTAACGTGGATGCTAGTGTGCATAGTAGGGGACAGGGACAAGAGGGGCGGAGACGGGGTTAGGTTCATTCCACACCCTTCTCTATCTGGCGAGCTCAAAGAACATATGGTTCAAAATGAACAAAAAACAAATAAGAAAGCGAATTGATGACGTTCCTCTCATAATGGACGGTCTTTGATCCCTGGCTTTCCTGAAGCTTGGAGTTCAACGCAATTATCATCACAAGCCTGGGCAAGCATAAATCAGTAAACTTATTTGACTGTTATTGCACCCTCCCAACCATAGGTGACAGGACGGGGGGGGGGGGGGAGCAGCAAGCAGCACCGCTACCCGCCCCCCAACATGCACCTTTGGTCAGCACGTGTATGCCTACGGGCGTGTGCCACAGAAATTGGTCTGGTTCGCTACTTGGTACCGATTGTCCCTCTTCACACAAAGCATTCGCTCACCAAAGAAGTACAGAACAAAACTATATGAAAGTTCACTTTCAGGGGTTGGCGTTGAGCTACTTTCCAGTAAGTAGTCCAAAAGGGAGTGCCCCGGATTCAACGTTAAACCCCGGAAAGAAAACCTATTTTGTTTTAGTTATTATTTTTCGGTGCCTGCCAACTGTTAGTGAGGACGGTTTTGGGTGAGGGTTTTGAATTAGTGGACGATTTGATTGATGAATATGTGGGGTTTAATGTCCCAAAACCACTATATGATTATGGGAGACGTCGTAGTGGAGGGCTCCGGAAATTTTGACCGCCTGGGCTTCTTTAATGTGCAGCCGAATCTGAGCACTTGGGCCTACAACATTTTCGCCTCCATCGAAAATGCAGCCGCCGCAGCCGGGATTCGATCCCGCGACCTGCGGGTCAGCAGCCGAGTACCTTAGCCACTAGACCACCGCGGTGGGGCTGTGGACGGTTTTTCGGGTGTGTTATTTTTCCCGGCGTTTTTTTTTTTTTGACCATCTCAATCACCAGCTTTACTGTTCAGCAAATGCAAGGTTCACGTCAGAGTATAAAAAAACATTCACACCAGCCTTGTCGCCACTTTCTTGGAAGTATTTTGTTTTGCGCAAATGGTGTACTAAGTGTTCAGGTTCTTGAATATGTTTTGTGTCAATTTGTTTTTTCTTACACATCGTCCCCCTCCTTTTGCACCGGATAAGAACAGCGCCAAGTTTGACTAATTGCTTAATGTTCATTCTTGAAATATTTAACTGCGCTAAATATGAACGGGGACACAGAGAAAGAAAAGGATGACACGCGATCACTGTTGGAACACAGGAATAAGAAGGATGCCACTCCACTGAGTACTGGGCTCTTTGTTGACGCAGTGATGCGAAATGGTTAACGGCACTGCGGAAGGCAAACGCAGGAATGTCTGGCAGAGAAGCCAGCTACACAGCGTAAGCGCTATCTACTTATACCATAACCGGTTTGAGAACCTAGCCCTCCCACCCTCTTCTTTTTCCGTCTGGCCGTAGCCAGTTTCCACTGAACAGCTGGGAGGATGAAGGTTGTGGAGAGTGTGAAAACGGGGGATGCCCTATGTCTGCGCCCTTGGAAACGGCCGTCGGCCTGCTTGTGATGTGCATTCTCCGCGACTGTTAATCTTGCGATATGACGCGTGAACTTGCATATACGGATGAGAAGGAATTCGTGAGAAAAAAAAAATATGCCTGTTGAATGCGGGTAGCCGCAAACCCACCAGCTAGAACAGTCGCTGGCGGAACTACACATTCTGGGAACACGTAGCATCCTTAAATAAGGTCAGTCGCTGTATGCAAACTTTCGACAAGTGTCCTTGTGTTTTTGAAGGTAGGCACTGGCTAATTGCTCAATGCCTTGAAGAATGCAATAACACCTGCCGAAACGATGGCCACACCATCGTTCAAGAACTTATCATCTGTTCAAGCCTCAATTTTCACCTGATCTGCTTATCTTGGCCATTCACAAGAGGGGGCACGTATTACCAGTGCTGACTTACGTACGCTTTGGTGACGTTGTAGAGCGCCTGCGTCCTCTGCGTGAGGTAGTGGGCTCGGTCCCCAGTGCCACCAGTGCACAATTGTTTTTCCAATGAGAAGACCCTGGCATGCCAGGGTCAGTCGCACTCCCTGGCATGGTACTCGGTGGTACGTACGGCTACTCGAATCACGGACTCCTGTGACCATGTTTCCATCTATCCTATCTCTCCCATCCCTCATATGTCCTCGCTCGCTGTCCCAGAGCATCTTTCCCTCTCTCTCTATACCTTTGATAATATTCTTTTAATCCCTCCTAACCACCATGCATACGTCAAATAACTCACGGCCCTCAGTTCCCAGCAGCTGCGAAGCAACTGACCAAGGCGGCGGTCAGATCTGCAACGCAGCAGAGGGTGCTAAGAATCTCTGGACTACAGGCCGCCATTGGAACCTGAACTTGGCAACGTTTAACGCTAGAACCTTATCTAGTGAGGGAAGTCTAGCTGTACTATTCGAGGAACTAGAGGGTGTTAAATGAGATATAATAGGGCTCAGTGAGGTTAGGAGGACAGATGATGCCTATACTGTGCTACAGAATGGGCACGTCCTTTGCTATCGGGGCTTGGCAGACAGAAGAGAACTGGGAGTGGGGTTCATAATTCACAGAAACATAGCTGGCAACATAGAGGAATACTATATCATTAATGAAAGGGTGGTAGGTATTGTAATTAAACTGAATAAAAGATACAAGATGAAGGTAGTACGGGCTTACGCGCCTACATCCAGCCATGATGACGCTTCAGTTGAAAGCTTCTATGAAGACGTGGAATCGGCAATGAGTAAGGTAAAAACACAGTATACTATAGTGATGGGCGACTTTAATGCAAAGGTAGGGAAGAAGCAGGCTGGAGACCAGGCAGTAGGAGATTATGGCATCGGCACTAGAAACGCCAGAGGAGAGCTACTAGTAGAATTCGCAGAACGCAATAATTTGCGGATTTTGAATAGCTTCTACCGAAAACGAGAATACCGCAAGTGGACATGGAGGAGCCCTAATGGCGAAAATAAGAACGAAATAGACTTTATAATGACTGCACACCCAGGAATCGTGCAGGATGTGGAAGTGGTTGGCAAGGTACGATGTCTGTTGTACTTGACACTTTCATGCTTTGACGCCTCTTAATTAGGTTCTTCGTTTCCTGGGAAAGCTTGCCAGTGTCCTGTCTAACTACCCTGCCTCCAACTTCGACTGCACACTCCGCACTGCACTGACCATAGAATGGTATGGTCTCGAATTCGCCTAGACTTGAAGAAGGAACGACAGAAACTGATACGCAAGAAGCCAATCAATGAGCTAGCACTGAGAGGGAAAGTACAGGAATTCAGAGTGTCGCTGCAGAACAGGTACTCGACTCTTAGTGAGGAAACCATCCTTAGCGTAGCGTAGTGGTTGGCAAGGTACGATGCAGTGACCATAGAATGGTATGGTCTCGAATTCGCCTAGACTTGAAGAAGATACCTCACGAATGATAATCTGACGAGTATCATTACGGAGTGTGCAGTGGAAGTTGGAGGCAGGGTAGTTAGACAGGACACTGGCAAGCTTTCCCAGGAAACGAAGAACCTAATTAAGAGGCGTCAAAGCATGAAAGTGTCAAGTACAACAGACAAAATAGAACTGGCAGAGCTTTCGAAGCTGATTAATAGACGTAAAGTATGCGATGTAAGAAGGTATAACATGGAGAGAATTGAACACGCTCTGAAAAACGGAGGAAGCGTCAAAGCAGTGAAGAGGAAACTTAGGATAGGCAAAAGTCGGATATATGCACTAAGGGACAAAGAAGGCAAAATAACTACCAATATGGATAGGATAGTTAAAATAGCGGAGGAGTTTTACAGAGATCTGTACAGTAGCCGAGACAACCACGACTCGAATACTATAAGAACTAGCAGTAACCTAGATGACACCCCACCAGTAATGATAGAAGAAGTCAGAAAAGCTTTGGAGATCATGCAAAGAGGCAAATCTGCTGGTGAGAATCAGGTAACATCAGATCTGCTGAAAGATGGAGGACAGATTGTGTTAGAAAAAGTAGCCACCCTGTTTACGAGGTGTCTCCTGACGGGAAGGGTACCAGAGTCTTGGAAGAACGCTAACATCATCTTAATACATAAGAAAGGAGATGACAAGGACTTAAAGAATTACAGGCCGATCAGCTTGCTCTCTGTAATATACAAGCTATTTACAAAGGTAATTGTTAACAGAGTAAAGAAAACATTAGAATTCAATCAACCAAAGGAACAAGCAGGATTTCGAACAGGCTACTCTACAATTGACCACATTCATACTATGAATCAGGTAATAGAGAAATGCTCAGAGTATAACCAACCACTATACATAGCCTTTATAGATTACGAGAAGGCGTTTGATTCAGTAGAAATATCAGCCGTCATGGAGACGCTGCGGAATCAGGGCGTAGATGAAGTATATATAAACATTCTGGAAGAAATCTACAGGGGATCTACTGCTACCATAGTGCTTCATAAAGAAAGCAACAGAATACCAATCAAGAAGGGTGTAAGGCAGGGAGACACAATTTCCCCAATGCTATTTATCGCGTGCTTACAGGAGGTTTTCAGAAGCCTAGAATGGGAACAGTTAGGGATAAGACTC